GACCCACAGGGAGACTGTCTCAAATAAATAAATTTTGCATGGCATTGATTGATTTGTTAGGGGAAGCACACCTCTTCTGGGTGATTAAGACACAGGCTTTACCCTGTTAAGCAGGGAGACACCCAGGAATCCTCCTGGTTTGGAACACTACTGAGCCCCCGATACCCAGCTCAGAGGCAGTGCCAGCAGAGAATGTAGAGGATCAGTAAGAGGGGTGAGGGGCTGGGGTGGAGCTCAGGGCCTGGGGAGCTGTGGTCACAGCTTATGCCCTGTGAGGGGCTGAAGGAGACACCTGGGAGCCCTACAGTCATCCTATTGGTCTGGCAGCCATGGAATCAGTCATGAACCCAGGCTGATGGGCAACCTGTGTGGTCTCTGCTGGCCTAGAACTCCTGATCCTCTGACCTAAGCCTTTGAAGTTGATGACCTTACAGGAATGCTGCCCCACGCCTGATTCTGCCTTTGAAACCTAGCTTTCTACTATGGGCTCTTCTTTATGTACCAGGGAGCACTGTCTCAATAGTAGGTATGGGAGCTTCCCATGATCAGCTTATCCGGATCACCCTTGCTGGGGAGGTAGACAGGCTTTAGGTAAGCACATTATGGGTTCAGATGAGCTCAGGTATACCAAGCATGTCTGATATAACAGTTTAATCTCATCCAATGGCTAATAAAAATGCCCTGTCACTTTGATATAGGGCTAAGGGGCACTTCAGAGCCTGAAGGTTGAGAACCCTGGCTTGGCTGTCCATGAGGAATCAGATCCTGGACTGTTGAGGTTAGCAGAGTGACTTGTGACATGCCACAGGTCTTGTGGACCCACAGTCACTGGAGTCCACAGTAGATAACAGCCTCTTTTGGCCATCTGAGGCCAAGAACTCCCTCCACCCAAATGCGGGAAGAGTTAATGACACATAACCAAATTTTCCAGGACTGACACCCATGTCTACAGATCCCAATAAAAGCTTGAGTTCTTGGCCCCCAAGTGCAGCACTCATTACTCATCCTGCTCACCCTCACATCTGCTTTCAATTTGATTTGCATTAATAAATCCGCTTCTGCTTCAGTCTCCTCTGTGTCTCTCCTTGAATTCTTTCTCTGAGGAGACCCAGAAGTTCTGGCCCCCAACCCAGCAATCTGGTGACATTATTTGGTGAGCCAAGTCAGGACACCTCAGGAGACCTACCAAGGACCAGGTGACTATTTTTGTCCAATTCTGGTAAGCCTACCTGATTTTTTATTTATATTTATTTAGTCTTTGGTGATCCTAGTGCTTGAACTCAAGACCTACACCTTGGGCCACTGTACCAGTCCTTTTTCTGTGGTGGGTTTTTTTGAAATAGGATCTTTTGAACTATTGGCCCAGGCTGGCTTCAAACCGTGATCCTCCTGATCTCTGCTTCCTGAGTAGCTAGGGTCATAGGCCTGAGCCACTAGAGCCCAGCTCTGATTTTTTATTGACAGAGGGGGCAATCTTTTTAGATTTCTTCTCTCATTGAGGACAGTTATCTTGAAAAACTTGTGCAACAATGTCACTTTACTCTTCTCTGTGTGGGAAGAGCAAATAATTGTATCCTGAACTACAACCACAGGGTTAACATGTAAAGATTTGGGCTCTTTGTGTATTTCCTCTCCTTTCTGACGTCTTGCTTATGTTAAGATGGTTTGGCTGTCTCAGTCGTTTGGAAGTTTTGTTATCTTAGCCTGCCCTAGCTGGAAAGAGACATTCTGTAACTCTTACACTCATTTAACACCAAAGGGGAGAGAAACGTGTAAATGCATAGTTTTAAGAATTCAAGTGACAGCAAAGTTTGCATAATATCTGCACTCATGGGTACACAGGTGAACTTTATTTGTTTCATTGTGTCATGAATACAGTTTGGGCTAAAAAAAAAATCAGGTAACAAGGATCCCATGAGTACATGAGAGGTAATGCAGGTTATAATGAGGAGAACATTTTGGATAAGGAAGGACTTTCTATGCAAATGAGTTCTTGTCCTAAAAACACAGAATTGCTCCTAAATGGAAACAGGCAGGTAAGGGCAAAACCAGAAGCAAAACCATGCTGCAGAAGTGTTGAGTTAGGGTTTATGCTGAGATAGGATTGCTGGAATATGGAAAGCCATGGGGAAGCATAAGAAAGTTACAGCAGGAGGACTTTTCCAGTAAAAAGGTTTCTACATGGTAAAATATGGATTTATGTGAAAGTAAAGGATTGTTCCAAGACAGGAATAGAGAGATAAGGACAAAAACAGGAAGGTCAAGGCATGTCTCAGAAGGATTGTGGTAGGATTTATAGTGAGACAAAAAAAAAATATGTTGTCTTGATAAATTCACAATAGGCTTTCCAAAATCTTCCCCTAAAACCCCAACAAATCTGGAAATGGAGAGTGTGGAGTCAATTTCCTCTCTCCTCCAGGTGGGCAAATTCCTCATTCTCTCCAAAAACTTTACACTCCCTGCAGGGTGCCCCGAGGTCAACTATAGACTTTGCAAAGGAGCCATGTGACTCTGTAGTCTTATAAATGATAACAATTGTTCCCCTCGGGAAGGGGATGCTACTCCTGCAGTAGGTGGTTCCTGTGTGGAGCAAGGGCTGTGGGAGCTGTGGAGTTTCTGCCCAGTTTTACTGTGATTCTAAAACTGTTGTAAAAAAAAAAAATCGAGGTAACTTTAAAAAATAAGTGTGGCTCATGCCTAATATCCTAGGTATTCAGGAAACAGAAGGAGGATCACAGTTTGAAGCTAGCCCAGGTAAGTACTTGGAAAAATCCTATCTGGAAAATACCCAATGGAAAAGGGCAGATGGGGTGGCTCACATGGCAGGACGACTGCCTGGCCACCTAGAGGCCCTGGGTTCAAATACTAATGCTGCCAAAACAAACAAGCAAAAAACTTAAGTGTGGCAATTCTAACATTTTATTCTTTTAAATAGTATTATCATTCTAAATAAAATTAAATAGTATTATCATTCACTGAGGTTTATATTTATTTTTGAAAGTCTCATTTTTCTATTTTTACTAATGTATTCTGAGAACAGATTTCTCTACATCCTTCAGGCTGGTAACAAACTTACAATCTTAATACCTCAGCCTTCAGCAGTCTGGGATTACAGACATGTGCACCACACACAGCTTAATTTTTCAGTTATTACTCAGTCATTTTTTTTTTCGGTTCAGGATGGATCCCAGGGCCTCACACATGCGAAGCAAGAGCTCTACCACTGAAAACACCCCCGGAGCAAGAGTCCTTTTTCTTGATCCAGCAAATCAAGTAAAACAATATTTTCATATACTACTGCATTCTGTGAAATCTAAATTTCCTTGATAATTTTCACAGTGATTTACACCTTTATAAACTCTAAAAATCATGACTCCCATTTCGTGCGTGATGAGCAAGGAATGTTTCTTCCTTCCCCCCCTCCTTTCCCCCTACTTGCCATACTAAAGGAAATCTTTGTTAAAATTAAAAAAAAAATCACACGCAGGATGGATGCTCAATAGTCTCCCAGAACAGCAGTTCTGTAAACGACCACGGGAAGCAGTGGGTCTGGAAAACACTCACGCCTCTGTCCTGAGCGTCCAGCAGAGGGCGCACGAGGCCCACAGCTTGGATCTTTTCTGATCACTGGAGGTCCGTCCTGGTGCTGGGTTTTATTGTTATTTTTTCAGTCCTGGGGATTGCACTCAGGACTTTCCATTTGCTATGCAGATGCTTTACCACATTAGCCACACACTCACGAATCCAGTTTTGTGCCCCACTGCCCACCCCTGCTGCCTGCTGCAGTTCTTCAGTTGGGATGAATCCTGACCAAATGGAGGCCCCATGTGGAGGCTGAGTCCCATTCTGTGCCTGACTCCCTGCTGTCCTCCCTGTTAACAGGAATGGAGGGTGAATTGAAGGATGTGGGAGCCTTCGTTCCTGCTAGGAGGATAAAGAGGGAAAAATAAGCACTTCCCTGTCCGTGACTCCTCCCTTCTGCTTCATATGGAACCTTTAGCACAGGGGAGGAATATTTGTCCACATAGTTGCAGGCCTTGCATGCAAGGGGCAAATAAATGGTTAAGAGTCCACAAGAGCATGGCGTCTGAAATATGGCTTACACCCAATTCCCTTTTCATGCATTTTGTCTTTCCCTTTCCCCAGCCCCCAAGGATGTGTTATGGTCAACCCCAGCCTGAGCACCATGGATCCCAAATGGACAGTGTCCTTTCGAGTGGGTCTGAGCAGCTCACTTCAGTCGACAGCCTTGTGTGCATAACCACTGACCAGCCACACGCATGGATGTCACAGATGCACATAGAGAAGGAAGAGTGGAAGGCAGTGGTCAGCGTGGCTCCAATTGTTGATGCCATGAGTTCTTGGGCTTCAGCCTCACTGCTGAGACAGCTCAGTGCCTGTGGTTCTCTACAGTCACAGGACTTTCCTCCCTGTACACTGGACACCAGTATAACAGACCAAGCAGATAAAAAGTGTTTGCATGGAGGTTCTGACCATTTTTACATAGACAATTATGCAGGGGCAACGCCCTCATTCACCTCTCCAACCTGAAGCCAAATTGACATATTCTGATTTGTGTTTCTGGCTGCATAAGACATATGTCAAGAGGACCCATTGCTCCCTGTATTATCTTTCTCCTCTAATCTGAGCCCCGCCCACCCCCTTCATTTTACCCACTCCTATTGAGCAGTGATCTGAAACCATGGGTTCGGTGTTCCCATGACCAGATGCCTAGGCCTTGACTTTCACTTCCCAGTGGCCAGAAGAAAGACTTTGATATTTGCAGCCAGCTAGGCATGCATCAACAGTAGATTAGATGGTGCTCTATGTTATAGACCCACTGGTTGCCACATTTGACAGCAGTGTTCAGTACCGAGCCCCACCAACTTGGGCTTCCTTGTGACCCTCAGTGTATCCATGAGCTCAGCACAATTTTGGGTAAGTTTCCCCAAGATGGGCTCTCAGCCCATCATAGGTCTCCAGTGAGTAGGGTACAGCTCCTAGCTCAACTGGCTCAGCATGACAGTATGGTGCAGCAAGTCCTTCAGGACAGACATGGAAATGTGGTTCTCAAAGAAGCTGAATGTGGTAAGCTGGGAGCAGTGGCTCAGGGAAGGCAGGAGGGCAGTGAGCCGGGGGTCTCTGATCTCACAGTCCTCCAAATCCAGGGTCTTCAGGTTGTCTGTGACTTTCTCTAGCAGAACTTGGAGGGGCTCAGGACCCATGACTCTTCTCAGGCTCAGGTGTTTGAGCTAGTGGATGCTGGGGCACTGGGACAGATGTTTCAAGTCTGATTCTGCAAGCTGGCAGTGAGTAAACGACAGTGACTCCATGGGGGTTTTCAGGCACCTAAGGACAGACCAAGCAGCCAGCTTTGGCTAATGGATTGTAGGGTGGGGGAGGGTCAGGAATGACCTCAGGTCAGAGAGCACAACCTTCCCCACACACAAATTCTAAGCTGAGGTCCTTACCATCACTGTGTGACTGGCTCATTGCCCCACTCCACAGTGCCTTTCCTCACTGTCACACACAAGGTCCCAGCTCTGGCCAGTGGAGACCTGCAGGAAGGACAAACCCTGGCAAATCTGGAAACCTTGCTGGGTTGCTACCTGTGTGGCTTACTCCTCTCTGCATCCCCGGCATAGCATCTGTCACTGTCCTCTTGCTTCTCTGCTTGCCCTAACCCTCATTCCCAGTGCCACTCACTTCCCATCCCTCCACTGCCTGAGCACCAACACCTACTAACATTCAGAGAAAGGGACTTAGAGGCAGGCCCCCTCCTCCTCACACAGCTTTGGAGCTCAGTGCTCCCATGGTGACCTGTGCATGTGTGAGGTGCTTCCCTCCTTCAGTGTCCCCTTCCCCTTCCTATTTCCACCACCTGAGGAAGACACACCTCCTGGGGAGGAACTCACAGCCCACCCTCCCTACACCTGCCCCCTACAGTTCTAGCACGGTGACTCTTGCCAGGTCATCCACCATGTGTCCCCTCTGACTTTGAGGGCCTATGAGCATCACACAAAAGGATAAATTAGAAAAAGTCAATGGTTAGATTATCTAATGCACATGTCACACTGAAATCTCCACTGGCTGGCACACAGCAGGCTTGGCTCTGCTCTGAAGAAAGCTCCCCATCCGTCCTCACCTGAGCACCTACTGCAGGTGACTGTGGAGGAAATAGGCCCTGCTTACACAGAGCTGTTGGCGACAGCTATGAGAAGTGAAGGTGGTGACTAACTATTCACTCTGTTTTGGAGAAATGCACGCCAGCACAAAGATGTGAAGTTTGAGCAGGTTTCTCAGCTGGCCCAGGTAAGGAGCAACCACAGTCAGTGTGTATAGCGTCAAGGGACAATTCATTTCCACCTCCTCCATCCAGTCCAGCTCCAACAGGACCAGGATCCTGAGGATAGGCCATGCCCTTGAGCCGTAGGTGTTCCATTCCCAAATCTTCATCTTCCTACAGCACAGCTGTATTGAACTTTTCCTCTGTTGGACCCACTCAAACAGGCATGTTTGGAGTTCATACAGGTCAGAGAGGTCCAGGTTAAGGTCAACTATCAGTCTCAAGGGCTGCTTTACCCTTGTCCTTGGAGGACCCTCCACTGCTTGGTTCCTGCTCTTGGTCTGTGGAACGCAGTCCCTGGCCATGGCCCCAGAAAACACCTTACGGAAGTTCTGGTGTACAGTCTTCAGGTATTGCAGTTTCCACCTCCTGAGGAGAAATGGAGAGTGAGAACCTTGTCAGGGTCCCAACATCCTCTGTGCTTTTGTTCTCCATCCTGGAAATAGCTGCTGTCTTCTCAATTTTGTGTCTGTGTTAGTTTTCCTTGTTTTGTTATTTCATTAGTTCTTATTTCTCTTGAAGTGCTGAGGCTCTAGGCCCAGGCCTCAGGCATGCTAGGAATGCTCTTCCCATGGGCTATGATGGCTGAACTCTCTCCCTACTCTCCTCCCTGTACCTCTTGAATCCAGTGGTCCCTACTTGTACCACATTGGGAGGAGGCAGGGACAGCTCCTTCTGCCATCTCTGCATCCATCCTAAGCACTCCTCCACTCCTGCAAGCTGGTTCCCAGGTGAAGCTCAGCAACGGCCCTGGCCTTTCTAATCTCCTTGTTTGCACTATGAGATGCATCGGTCCACCTTCCTTTCCACTCTCCATGTCCTCAACTCAGCTTTTCCATGATCCCAGGGCCCTTCCTTCCATGCTGCCTGGGTCACACTCACCTGGGGAAAACCTGTTGGCCAAGCAGAATGTCAGTTCCATCCAGGGCAACCTGTAAGGGGTCCAGTTCTCTTGTCTTCTGAATTAGGGCCTCCAGGGGGACTCAACTCTTTCAAAGAGCAGTCCTGTAGGTGCAGGTACTTAAGCTGGCTGTTGCTGGGACACTGGAACAGATGCTTCAAGTCTGATAGCTTTAGTGGGCTTGACTTCAAAGAGAGGATCTCCAAGGGTGTCTGACTCCTGAGAAGACAGCAGGGTAAATTCTAGTGAATGGAGTTGGTGAGTGGAACCACATAAAAATGACCTCCATGAAGGAGAACTTGTGGATGAAGGTGCTTCTGACCATCTGATGAGGCTGTGTGCTGCAGCCTCTGCTCACTCAGTCACCCCATTCTAGGCTGAGGACTTTCATGGTCACAGTGAAATTGGCTCAATGCCCATCTTTACAGTAAGTACCCTTTTCTCCTCACTGGGGTTCGCACCTGATGCTCACTCACCCCCTGCATCCTCAGCAAAGCATCTTCCCTGTTCACAACTCCTCACACCTGCTTCTCACCCTCAACTCCAGAGTCACACTCCACCCATTACTCCATCTCCTACCTGGGCTCCAAACCACCTTCCAGAAGGCTGGTCCGCTTCCACAGCTGTGAGCCCAGAGCTCCATGGAAAACTGTGCTGGTGTGAGGTGTCTCCCCTCTCCAGTGCCCCTTCTCCATCCTAGTTCCTCCACCTGAGCTTAGACATGCCTCCTAAGGAGAACTCACAGTCTCTCACCCTGGGTCTGATCTCCACAGCTGGCTTCCTCTTATGGGGGCCCTTCAGACCACTGACCCCAGTTTAGCATGATGGACTTCGGGGTGGTCGTGTGAGGCCAGAATTCAAGGAAGAGTGCTGGAGCAGTCAATGCGTTCCCTTTCTGGAGCCTCCCTCACCGTCCCATGGCCACACCTTGCACCCAACAAATGCCCTTTCACGTGTACTGTAACTGAGAATGGCTTTGCTCTGGGAGCAGAAACAGCTTTCCATCCACCCTCACCTGAGTATCCTGTGCAGTTTTCCATATAGGAAGAGGACATCTGCAGATCCAGCTCCTGGAGGCTTGTCAACATTTGCAAGTGAAGGGCATATTTGTAGGAAAACCACTCATTTGGGGGTGGGAGATATAAAATCACACACTCATCATGCTGAATGAAAATAGGCGAAGATCCCTCATGCTGCCCAGGTAACTAAAAAATCTCCTTGTGATCTCCCGGTGCCAGAAATTTCTCACCTGCAGCTCTTGGATGTGGTCTAGCTGCATGACATGCAGTAATTTCTGCATCTTGTAGATGGAGCCTGTCCTAATATGCAACTTTGTGCAGCACAGCTTGGGGAAATCTTTCTCTTCTTAGCCCACCACAAGAGGTGGTCTTGAAATTCATCTGGGTGGAATAGATCGTGGAGCAGATGTCTACAAATACCCTCACGGCTGCTTCACTACCATCCCTGCACCGTGAATGGCTGCTCACTGTTTAGTTGTGTCCTCTGCTCAGTTGACATGCTCAGTCAGGCATGGGCCACGGCCATGTAGCCCATGCATGATCCAGACGTCCTGCTGCTCTTTCTGCAAGTCCAACACTTTCAGTTTGCACCTCTCTGTTCCTTAGAACAGAGTCTAAGAAAACAGGCAAGGACCCACTCCAGCCTGCACTTTTATTCCTCATTCTGTCCATCAGCTGCTCCCCAGATTCTCTGTCTTCCTTTCATCCACCTCCTTTCCATTGAGCCAGTCTATGAGACTGACGCGCTACCTACTGCGCTAACGAGGCACCTCCATTGAGCCAGTCTAGTCCCCACTTCCTAGCACCTGTGTTTGGATGCAAGTAGAGGCTCCTGCCATCCCTGCCTCCATCCCAAGTCTTCCACACCAGGAAGCCTTTTCCCAGATGTCCCAGGACCGTGGCTGAAGTCATCCGAAGCCTGTGGCCCGTTCTTCACCTCCTGCTCTACCTGATCCCAGCTAACTCTTCTCTTGACTTCAGGGTCCTTCCTTCTATGACACCTGGGTCACACTCATCTGGGGTGAACCTGCTGGACAAGCAGCATACCAATCCCATGCAGTGCAATCTGAAAGGCCCCCAAGTCTTGATCATGACTCCCAGAGGGAGGCAGGGAAAGGCCAGGTCTGTACCATGGCCTTCAGGATCTCAGTGTTTCTGCAGGCAAAGGCCTCTTTGAAGAGCTGAAGGAAGAGCCCCAGTAGCAGGCTGTCTACAGAAGAAACAGCCAAGGCCTGGTTCCTTAGCAGGATCTGCACTGACAGCTCCTGGAGTGTGGGTGGGGCCTCGGTGCTTATCCTGATGGGTCTGCAGGGAAAAGAATTCTGAGAAGCTTCCAGAGAGACATTCTTTCAGGCCAAGACTGGGAAACCACTTCTCACCTACTCCGCGATAAACTCAGGTTTAATTCACTGCTTTGGCAATGATGGAAGAGACCTCAGTTTACCCCACTTCCCCACTTCCACTCAGTACCTGGTACCCACAAAGCCACTCCTCTCAGACGGCAGGTGGCAAAGTGAACACTTCAATAGCACCAACCTGGACACAAGTTCATCACTAACCCATCCATTTCCCACCCGTGCTCCTCTGAGATCCAGGCCACCTGGGAGGTGCGCCAAAGAGACAGAAAGCTCACTCCACCATTTTGTTTTACAGTTTCTGAGTCTGCAACAAAGGCAAGGGAATTTCCGTGTGCTCAGCCTCCCTACATTCTGTTCCTTCTATGTCACCCTGACTGAAAGTACTCAGGAGACTAGAAAATGGCACCATTTTGGTTTTTTAAAGCCCTTGAATAAGTGATTATGGAAGCCACAGAGCAAGAGAGGCAGCAAGTGGGAAACGCTGACTGAGGTGGAAACCCTGAGCCTAAGGCGAGCTCTAAGAGGGACATTTCCATGTGCCAGCCCTGCTCCTAGGAGCATTGAGTCCTGGGAGAGGAGCCTGGGAGTCTTGGATCAGACCAGGGCTCCATCTTTAAAGTCTGCACAGGCTAGGGTGGAAATTGGTGGGAGAGGGTGGCTAGCTTGCATGTAGGCCCTAGGTTAAATACCCATCACCATAAAACAGAAACAGAAGTCTTAACAAAACAAAAATAGAAACACAAGAAAATTGATAAACAGTGAAACAAGGAATCCACAGGAAAAAAACCTAGTGAAAAATGTAAAGAATATTTTTAAACTTACTTTTTATGTCTCAATCCCCCTCCCCCCCAAAAACCCAACAGTTATACTTACAAAATTACAAACCACCACATTCCTGAACTATCATAGAAAGGAATAGTGAGTAATTAAACTACTTATTTCATTTGTAAAACATAAAATTCCATGCTCAGCCTCGTGGCCCATGCTTGTAATCCCTGCTACTAGGGATGCCAAATTGGTAGTACTGAGTTTCATGGCAAAATTAGGGTGATTTCATCCCTCAAGCAAGAAGCCTGATGTGGTAGCAGAGTCTGTAATCCCAGCTACTGGGAGGCATGGGTAGGAGGACTGGGGTCCCAGGCCAAGACTCAAATAATAGCATGAGACATTCCCAAAAATAGCCAAAATGTCTGGATCATGGCTGAGGGGTGGAGAGCTGGTTAGGAAGGGCTGGGCCCTGGGTGAAAAAAATTGCAGTATTTCCAAAGGATAAACTAAATAAATAACAACTCCCATTGTAAATTAAAAATTCTAGCTTCAATTCAGTTTGATAATTTCTGTTTTAAAAAAATAACTTCATGAAAGCTAAAATGGCAGAACCGACTGCACAAATTCAGGGTGAGGACAAAGCTGCATCTGGAGTCCAAAACAAGTCTTAAAACTCCTCATCTGAAGAGACAGAAATCAGATTCTTCCAGGATTGCTGGGCCCAGTGTCATCACCGGGCCTGGCTAGGGAGGGTCTGGAGTGTCTTATGGAGGGGAATGACTTACCAGATGTGGACCAGGTGCCCAGGGCTCTCTGAATCCCAGCAGGGCCAGGCAGTGACTCTGGGCTGAGGAATCTGCTTCTCCTCTGTGACTCTGAATCTTTACTGGACTTTCCACAAGCACCTCCCATTTCAACTCCTCCTGTCCAATCAGAAAACAGCATCTGATCACATTCCTGAAGCTCCACCCAGTTAATCCTAAATGACTTTTCCTGGAAGGAAAAAAATTAGGGAGAGCTTGAAAGTCAAGGATGCCTTCCCTGATGCATTCCACACCATGGGTTGTGTGCACACCTCTTGTGTGATCCCTGTATTCCTATGTGTGAGGAGGAAGGTGCTGGCTCTGCTCCTGACAGTTTGGGTGCAGCTCAGGGTAGATCTCTTGTCTTCTTTACACAAGACCCATATTTAATATGAAAGATTAATATATATATATATATATATATATATATATATATATATATATATATAAAATTTTATTTTATTTATTAACGTGGTCAAAAGGACTTGGCTAAATCCACATTTTAAAAAATGCATCGAAGCCCAGCGTTGGTGGCTCTTGCCTGTAATGCTTGTTAACTCAGGAAGCAGATATCAGGAAGACTTCCGGTTAGAAGCCAGCACAGGCAAATGGCTTGTGAGACCCTAGGTAAAAAAAAAAAATGCACCCAAACCAGGCTAAGTAGTGTACTCAGTAACCCCAGCTGACTGGTACCCTGAGTTCCATCCCAAGAACTCAAAGAAAAAAACAAATGGCAGTAGACTGTCATTGACAATGACTTGGTGATGGTGTTGCTTCAATTTGAATGATTTCTCAGCTAACTCTTTCAGTCCCTGGAATATTTTCATTTTATAGTAGGATGCTACCTTATTTGAGAAAAGAAAAAAATTGAACTACTTTGGGTTGAGCTTTAGCTCTCAGGTAGAGCATTTGCTTAGCAGGAGAGATGTCCTGGATTCCCTCCTCAGCACTCAACAAACAATAGCTTGTGAAACTTTATATTTCAAAGAGAAATTAGCAATATAATTCTGTGTATTCTTTGCTTGCATTCTATGGAGTACAAGGACTGCTCTATTAAAACTGAGAAGTGTTCTGGCCGAGACACAGCAGAGCAGCAGGACACGGGTCATCCTCACAGGCTCCATCCTGGACCACAGCTCACAAGAACCTGCAGAGTCCACCCCAGTTCTAAAAACCACAGCAGGAGAACACCACCCCAACAATGGCAAGGACCCCATTGCATTTTTAACCTGTAGAACCCTTGCTGCAGTGGATAATGGGAGGGGTGAGGGGCATAAACCTCTCTGCTCACTCTCTCTACAGCCCAGAAACGTGCGATGCTCATTTCACTACTCTCACTTCTTGTTGCATGAGCTCTGTAATGTGGACGAAAACCTGACCCAGTGTTTAACATGCATCTATTTCTCTTGATTCTGGATTTAAAGATCAATCACCTTAAAAAGCACTTTTAAAACATCAGCATGTTTGTTCTTGTTGTTGTTGTTTTCTTTGTGTTTTTGTTTTTCCAGGCAAGGTCTCCTATGAAGCTCACTATGGCCTTGAACTCTATCTGCTTGCCTCAGCAATGGATTGCAGGGCTGTCCCACCAAAGCCGGGTTTAATCGCTCTGTTTTGAATCACAGGAGATGCAGGGCTTGGTGACTCGTGCCTGTAATCCTAGCTACTCAGGAGCCAGAGATAAGGAGGATCACATTTGGAAGCCAAGCCTGGGGAAATAGTTCCTGAGACCCTATCTCAAAAACATCCAACACAGAAAAGGACTGACAGATTGGCTCAGGTATGAAACCTTGAATTCAAACACTAATACCCCATCCTCCTAAAAACAGAACCATAGGAAAGAAGCATGCATGGGTTTGGATTTATGGCAGGCCTGTTCCCCTGGGCCTCTCATTCTGTCCCATGCCAGAGCAAACTGTGGCTCTGAACTGTTGCCTGGCTTTTGCCTGTAGGCTGCTGTCACTAAAGTGCATTGAACAGTGGGGAGAAAGGAAACCATGGCACAGTCCACAGACACTCTTCAGTGAGTGTTTAAGTATTAATGCTGCATTTAGGTGAATTTTGTGATTTTCTGAGAGAGCTCCAGCATTTTTTTCAAAAATATACTCAAGATAGCAAGTAACCCCATTATTATATTACAGTGGGAGACTTTTTGTTCTTGCCATGTGGGGATGGAAGTTGGGGCCGCCAGGAAGCTAGGCAAGTGTTCTACCCCTGTGCTCCATTCTCAACCTGAGAATCACTTTTACATTATTGGAAAGAAAAACAAACAAACAAACATTGCTGCAGAGTGTGGTGGTACATGCTTGTAAACCCAACACTGGGGAGGGAGGAGCAAGAAGACAGGGAGTGTCACTTCACCCTGTGCTTCATAGGAGATCCTGCTTTGGAGAGAGAGAGAGGTGGGAGGGAAGAAGGAAGAAAAAGGAGGGAGGGAGGGAGTTAGAGAAGGATGAGAGAGAACAAAACAGAACAAAAAACTAACATGTTTTTTAATGAAAAACAAATCTATGGGCCTAGGAACACGGCTCAAGTGGCCGGGCACTTGCCTAATGAGCACTATAGGTGGAGATTTTCCAGGAGCTCAGCTCCACTTATTTTTCCCTCCTTCACTGGATCTTCCCACTGGTCACCATGGCGGTTGCCAACTGGCATTGCACTGTAGATTTGGGATGCAGATTGTTCATAAAGAACATTTAGGTTTCTGCAGCTCACTCTGCCAACTGAAGATGTTCTATGAGGATCAAGCAGTTCTGTCTAGCTCATCAGAACAGGACCTTCTGGCCTTCAGGCATCCTGTCCTCAAGATATACTACAGTAGTGTTGGATAGAAATTCAGCAAGGTCCCTAGGCAGGACAAAGGATAACAGATCCACAAAGCTCGAAGAATTCCAATCAGACCCAAATTACAAGGTAAAAGTGAGACCCAGAGTACTTAGGGGACCAAACTACACCCTAGAAGAAATGGACACTGAGAGAACATTCCTCCACAACAGCAGAATCCATGTTCTTCTCAACAGCACATGGAGCATCTCCAAGACAGATCGTTTGTCAGATCACAAAACAAATCTTCACCAATTTAAGAAGAGTGAAATCATTTCAAGTACCTTTTCTGACCATAATGGGGTAACACAAAAAGTCAGTAGCAGGACCTCCACAATGTGAGCACTCGGGAGGGAGCAGCAGGAGGATCCCGAGTTCAAGTGTAGCCTGGGCAGCTGATCGAGTTCCAGACCAGCCTGAGTTATTTCGTGATACCAAAAGAGGAACTTCAGAGGGATGGAGGTGTGGCTCAGGCTGCAGAGAACCTGCCTTGCAAGCTTGAAGCCTTGAATGCAAACCCAGGCCAGAAACAAACAAACAAACAAACAAACAAAACAAGAAGGGGGGCTGGGGATAGAGTTCACTGGAAAAGCCTTTGTCTAGCAGGTGCAAGGCCCTAGATTCAAACCCCAGTACTGCATTAAAAGACAAAAAGAAGAGAAACTTCAGAAATTTACAAATGCATTATTCCAGATGTGTCAGAACAACCAATGAGTCATTGAAGAAAAGTGGAAAATTTAAATTTCCTAGACATTTGGCTTGGTGACACAGGTCTGTAGTCCCAGCACAGGGGAGGCTGAGGCACAAGGATCCCTTGTGTCTGTGAGGTTGCGACCAACCTGGACAACAGT